CAGAGGGATAAAACCGAAACCCAGACAACCTACTCATTAAGTGCCAATTACTTATGTCAATGGTTTAAAATGTTCTCTCACTGTGTGTGTGTGTGTGTGTGTGTGTGTGTGTGTATAAGAAAACCCTGGCAGACTATTAGGTGTTAAGGTAGTTTAATATTTGGGGAAATTGGTTGGGGTTTTTGGATCACCTGGAAATGATTTTGTCCCTCCACTTAGAGTAATGGGATACATGCTCCCATCATCTGAAAATCTGCTCCCACATTTATGTTCAGAATGGACTGAATGTGTGCACGGTCCTCTCACTGTCTTGCTCTCAATGTAGGCACCTGGGGTCCTCCTTGTTTTACCTAGGATGAAGGGAGCAGCAAGGACTAGGGCTCGGTGACAAGCCTCAGGGTGGCCTCTGCTGACAGAGCCATTGTCAGAGTCAAGATCTATAAAACGAAGTCACTGTGTGAGAGAGCTGGGCACCAGGCACTAGAGCAGGGGGTGGGGTAGCAGGAGGGAGGGCCCCAGTGCCATAGGGACAGCTGTGCAAGGCCTGACCAGAGTACACAGGAGCTGACTGGGGAGACTGGCCAGGCACAGAGCTGCAGTAGCCTAGCAGAGGGAGACCCAGCCTGGCAGTGTGAGAAACTGATTTTCAGGAGTGTGGCCCTGGAGACTGTCAGAGCTGGATCTACCTGGGCCAGAGTCCACTATCTGGTTGCTTGGATTTGGATGGGGTCCAACTTGGGAAGAGCTGAAGGATCTCTGGTCTGATCTTGGGGAGCATCAGTCCTGCCACCTGTGCACCTGGAACTCGCAGGCCCAGCCGGCCCAAGCATGAGTGAGCAGGAGGAGACAGAGGAAGACGAGGGAGGGGGCTCCTCAGACACGACACCCATGCTGCCCCAAAGGCCTCAAGATCACCAAGCCTCAGCCATGACATGCTCAGGATGGCCAGGCCTGATTGCTATAGGCATGGGGCCCCTGCTGCTGCCTGGCCGGGCCCTGGCCAGGCTCCTGCTGCACCTGCTCCTGCCAATGACTGTGTCCCTGCTGCTCCTGCTTCCTGCTGCAGGCGTCGTCTACCTGGGATTCCTGTGCCACTCTAGGGTGAGACTTGCAAGTCTGGGGAGTGGGGGTTCTGTGGAAATTCAGGGCCCCTGGGGCTAAAGGCACATCTGCCTCTCTCCAGCATTACCCCCCATGTCCTGGGGACATGTGTGCCTCTCCCTGGGGACCCCTTCCTCTGCCAGGAACCCCCCTCTGGCCACAGTGAATGAAGGGCTTTTGTTTGGGACCCAAAGGACAGCCCTCTCCCTTCTTCCAGGCCTCCCAGCCTTGTACCAGGGGCCACCAGGGCCTGGACAAGCACGGGGGGGCGGGGAGGGGGAGAGCAGTGAGATTCCAGTAAGAGAAGATGAGAATGTCAGATTTCCACCGGGTGAAGTGGCTCATGCCTGTAATTCCAGCACTTGAGAGGCCCAGGTGGGTGGATTGCCTGAGCTCACAGGTTCCGTAAAAATAGGCAGGCACCTGTAGTCCCGGCTACTTGGGAGGCTGAGGCAAGAGAATTGCTTAAGCCCAGGAGTTTGAGGTTACTGTGAGTTATGATGCCGGGAAGCGCCTGTGGCTCAGTGAGTAAGGCGCCGGCCCCATATACCGAGGGTGGCAGGTTCAAACCCAGCCCCGGCCAAACTGCAACAAAAAATAGCCGGGCATTGTGGCGGGCGCCTGTAGTCCCAGCTACTTGGGAGGCTGAGGCAGAAGAATCGCCTAAGCCCAGGAGTTGGAGGTTGCTGGAGCGACTCCGCTGCACTCTACCGAGGGCAAAAAAGTGAGACTCTGTCTCTACAAAAAAAAAAAAAGAGTTATGATGCCATGGCACACTACCAAGGGCAACAAAGTGACACTCTGTCTCAAAAAAAAAAAAAAAAAAATAGAAAAGGAAAGAAAGAAAAAAAAAGAGTGCTGTCTTCAGTAGCAGATATACTAAAATTGGAATGATACAGAGATTAGCATGGCCCCTGCACAAGGATGACACAAATTCGTGAAGCGTTCCATATTTTTGTACACAGCTATGATTTAATAAAAATAACATACACACACACACAAAAAAAAAAAAAAAAAAAGAAAAGAAAAGAAAAAGAATGTCAGATTTCACACACCACAGCCCCTCTCAGATCTTTCCTGTCCTGGGCTGGGCTTCCCCACCTGTGGACTGGGGTATGACCTGATCTGGGACCTGGAGGGTGAGGGCAGATAGACCCTGGAGCCGTTCTGCAGACATGGGGCTGAGGTGAGCAGAGGTGGTGCTAGGGGCTGACAGCCAGCAGGGGCTCAGGGTCAGATGCCAACCTGGGGAAGAGCCATGAGAGAACAAAAGGGGACAGGAAAACTGGAGTGGGGGAGCCCCTCCTCAAGGGACCCTGATACGAGCCATTTAACCTCTGGGTCGCAGATGTCCTGCTCAAACCTCAGCACTGCCTGGGGGTCCGGCCTCATCTCTCCCCGCCCCAGCCGCCTGGCACGGTCCCACCACTCCCTGGGCCCTCACCCCTGCTTCAGCTCCCCAGGCTCGCACCCCTTCCCATTCCTCCGGTCCCCTCGCTCCTCCCCTCCGACCTGACATGACAGCCCTACTGTTCGGTCCCCAGGTCCACCCGGCCCCCGGCCCCCGGTGCCGCGCTCTGCTCTCGGACCATGGCTCCGCTGCGCTCATCGTGCTCGGCTTCCTCTCGCTGCCGCCACTGCTGGTGCTCGCCTCGGCCGCCCGCGCCCGCCTGTCCCAGCACCTCCGCCCGCTGTTGCCGCCCCCAACTCGGACCCCCGCATTCCGCTGCCGCCCAGGGTCCAGGGAGCAGGAGCTGGCTGGCCGCCTCCCCTCTGGGGAGGAGCAGCTCTGCGCCTGGGTGTGACCCCAAGGCTTCTTCAAAGGACCCCAAGGCCTCCCAATGCCCCTCCTCGGAGCCCCATTATGTGGCCCAAGCCGGGCAGTGTCCGCGTCCAGGGTAGGCCAGACAGTCTGAGCCTACTTCGTGGCCAGGAGCACAGGGCCCGTAGTGGCCGCGAGATGGCACCGGGCTGCATGTGGCCGACTCCCCGGCGCCCATCCCCGCACCCCCTTCCCTGCTGCAAAGCTCCAGGGAAGCTCTGGGGAGGTAACAGTCACAACAGGCTGCCCTGCATCCCCGTGCTGTCAGACCCCCGATCCTCCAGCTAGTGCTGGGACTGGTGAGGCTCGCTTGGGGGTCAGGCACATTGGTCTGGCCCAATACCCTTGGCAACAGAAGTTCGTGGTAGCCAGCGGCCGCAAGACTCTCTGAGACCACGATGAGCGTTTACCCTGTGCGCTGGGCAGGGCAGAGGTGAGCCTGCGTCCAGACTTCACAGTTGGACAGGCACTTGCGTAAAAGCTTGGTCTTCTCTGTCTAGATAATTTTAAGATCTTCACTTTGTCTTTGGTGTTCTAGGGTTTCACCAGCATATTCTCAGGTGTGGATGTGTTCCTATTATACTGCTTGGTATACATTGTGTTTCTTGTCTCTGCAGGTCCATACCTTCCATCGGATCTGGAAAATGTTCAACAATTGTCTCTTCAAATTTTCCTAAATTCTTCACTGTGCTCTTTCACTCCATCAATAGTCTCTTCTTGCATTTTCTGTCTCCTTGTCTTTCTGTGCCAGATTCTGGGCAATCTCTTCATCTTCCCTTCCAACTCACTAATCTGTGTCTATCTGCTGATTAATTCATCCAATTAATTTTAAGTTGTTATATTAATATATCCAAAAATTATATTTGGCTGAACAGAGTGGTTCTGTAATCTTAGCACTTTGGGAGGCCAAGTTGTGATGCTCACTTGAGATCCTATTTCTAAATAAAAGAACGAATACAGAGTGGCGCCGTGGCTCAGTGGGTGGAGCACTGGCTCCATATACCGAGGGTTGCAGGTTCAAACTCGTCCCGCCAAACTGCAACAAAAAGTTAGCTGGGCGTTCTGGTGGGCACCTGTAGTCCCAGCTACTCTGGAGGCTGAGGCAAGAGAATTGCCTAAGCCCAAGAGCTGGAGGTTGCTGTGAGCTGTGACACCACAGCACTCTACGGAGGGTGACATAGTAAGACTCTGTTTCAAAAAAAAAAAAAGTAAATAAATAAAACTTATATTTTTTTCCTCAGATTATTTTTTTTTTTTTGAGGTAGAGTTTCACTTTGTTACCCTTGGTAGAGTGCCGTGGTGTAGTAGCTCACAGCAACCTCAAACTCTTAGGCTCAAGTGATTCTCGCGCCTCAACTTCCAAGTAGCTGGGACTTCAGGCGCCTGCCATAATGCCCAGCTAGTTTTAGAGGCTAAGTCTCACTCTAGCTCAGGCTGGTCTTGACCCTTGTGAACTCAGGCAATCAATCCACCCATGTCAGCCTCCCAGAGCGCTAGGATTACAGTCGTGAGCCACACCCGACTGTTTGGCAACTTTTCACTGTCAGCCTGTATCTGTGACAATTCTGAGGTCATAAGATAGAGACCTTCCCTCCAGAGATGACCCCTGTTTTCATGGCACAACCAGCCTGGGGCCCTGAAGGGCATGGAGGCTCCTGGTTTGTGTCCCCCATGCAAAGCGCCTCCTATGCCCCATCTCAGACTGGCTATCCAATCCTGTATATGTTCAGGGAATATCTGGATCTCTGTTCACTATTCTCTTTGCTTATTCACTTGTTTCTGATGTTTAATTTGGGGGGCTTTGGAGACATTAACTTTTTCAAGCCCATCAGCCTATTAAAAATGTATGTAAGGCCGGGCGCGGTGGCTCACGCCTGTAATCCCAGCACTGTGGGAGGCTGAGGAGGGAGAATCGCTGGAGCTCAGGAGTTCGAGACTCGCCTGAGCGAAAGTGAGACCCCGACTCATGAAAAAAATGGAAAAACCCAGCCGGGCGCCGCGGCGAGCGCCTGTAATCCCAG